GCATCGGACTTCTGCTGAAGCATGTCTTGTGAGGATTTGAGATTATTCAGCTCATCCTGAACGAAACTCTGCATGCGTTGTGAGAGATCTGCCAAAAGATCTTGCTGTTGAGATTGAAAGTTGGCGATGCGACTATCGACCAGTGTTGAGGTATCGGATACTTGTGACTGTGTTGAGTGCCAATGTCTCCTATTGAGTGACTGCAAATTAGAACGTCGGCGAAGTTTGGACTGGAGTCCTCCAATATCAGAGGTCGTTTGTCCTAGCGTTGAAATGAGGCTCTCCCCAAGATTCGCGAGATGTTCCTCGGTCTTTTGATGTGCTTCCCGTAAGACCGTCTGATCATTCAGGTCCTGTTTGGTGTGGTCTAGTACCGCCTGTGTCTTCTCTAGTATGCTTTTCGTGCCATCGAGCATCATCTTGGTCATCTCATTGTCCTTCTTGAGGCTATTGAAATTGGTCGTCAGTGAAATCAATTCTTGAACCTTGTTCCTTAAATTGATTTCCATGGTCTCAATTTTGTCTCGCTGTTCTTCACTTAAAATGCGCCTTGACTCGCTTTCCGTCGTCAATTCCTCGTACGTCTCCTGGGGCAGGTAAACGCCATTGCGCTGGCGAGTCGCAATGAGTTCACTCTTCAGCTTCTCGATTTCGACCGTGAATTCTTTCAGCAGTGTCTTCTTTGACACCATTTGGTTGACTTGTGGTTTGTTTCGGATATTCTTCGCACGGAATGCATAATCGAGAGTGGAAATCGTCTCCTCGAGGTTGCTCTTTGCAGGCGACAGGGTCGCAATAATGCATGTCTTTGTACGTCCACCAAGCGAGTCCTGAAGTAGTCGTGTGAGTTTGGACTCCCGGTAGGGAATGTGTAAAGCCTTATCCACAAGCGCATTGATAACACGACCAAGCGTGAGCAAGCTCTTATTTATCAGTCCAGCTTCGGTCGCGCGCTTGTTTTCGGCGCCACTCCTCTGGATATTTTCGCTGCCTGCCAAATCAACAAGATTGAGTTTGCCAGTGTGGACGTAGTCCTCTCCAGTATCGGTCGTTCCTTTCATGTAGACAGTGACCGTAAAAACCGTGTGACTGCGAGAGCTGAGATCGTTACACTTTGTTGCTGCAACTTGTCGTTTGTGGCTACCCTGTCGCAAAAGTTGTATGCCCTTTGCCGCTGATGTGATATGTGACTCCTCCATTCCTTGGACCAATGTCGTTGGGTGATTCTTTTTAGTCTCCTCGTAGATCTTAAGCTTGACTTTATCATCTGGGGATAACAGATCCCGAAGCTCTTCATTGTATAGTTCAATGAATGAGCATTTAACGGAGTTCTCCGCCTTCTCGCCGTCTAGTCTGCCAAATAAGGCATGTAATGCACGAGGAATAATACCAGCGCCGTCAGGGCAAGGAATGGTCTGCGATATGTCTCCAGACATGGTGTATGTCTTACCAGTGCCAGTTTGGCCGTAGGCGAAGATTGTGCAATTGAAGCCGGCGAGAACCTATATTAATTATTAACTGAAGATTGACTCAATAAGTCTGTTTACACCTTACCTCATCCATAATGGGTGTCACAACTTCGTCGAACACCATGACCTGATCTGCTGCAGGGGAGAAGACCTTGTCGAAATGGTAGGTCTTATTGCTCAAAGCACTGGGACCCATTGAAAGATCCACGCTCTTCCCTCTGAACCCATCGGTAGAGACAACAACTCCGCTATTCTCGCGAATTTCGCGATCGTTGCGCCCTCTACACCTTACCACAACATTGATGTTCGTTTCCTCTCCTCCCTCAGAATCGAAATCCCGCTCCTTTCTCTTCGTGCCAACAGATTGCGCAGACGGCGATCGCATCCTCGACCCGTTTGTCGCAACAGATGCGACTGATTCTGCAGGCGATGCCCGTCCATTGATGGGTGTTGCTGATTGCGCTCTACTAAATGGTCGGCGTGTGGCTGATGGTGGTGCCATCGCGCGAGGTTTTAGCCCCGGCCTCTGGAAATTAGACATGGACGGTTTGTTTTTTGTTTGTCTTGAGCCAGAGGACAATTTTATTTGGGAGTGCGGTAGATATGTTGGAGTTGAGGATTGGCTTTTGTTGACGCTAAGGGAAAAGTGTAAACAAACCGATTGTGGCCTGAGGCATCTCCGCCGCTTACCGATCTCAGCAACACGACGGGAACCTCAACTCTCCAATTTGACTCCTGATACTCTCATTATATTCATCTTCTATCAGAATTATTGGCACGCCGAGGTTTCTACATGTGTTTTCTGAACAGATAAAATAGGTTCCAACAGGTTCTTTACACCATACTTCAAGCTTGGAGGTTTGCTTGTAAATATGGATGTAAATGCTTTTCAGTCTCCATAATGAACATATCCCGATTTCCATCTTGTTGTCCTCTCCATAATTCGAAGTGCCACCATATGTCCTTTCTAGCCGCCATGGTTCTAAGGTGTTTTAGTGTGCTTGTCATTGTGCTCTGAGACCAACAGTTGTCAGAACCAAGTGACTAATTATAAGTATGTGACGAAGAAACTCACACAGCAAACCTTTAAGAGCGATTTCAATATCGAAGATAACTTCTTACAACGCCATAAACATCATTCACAAACAAATACACCAACAATTCGAAAAAAGCTTACAGCCATGTGCAAAGAACAACATTTCGTACACCCAGACTGCGGCTGCCTTCACCATATCTCGAAGAAGGTAGAACATATCGAACCATGCCCGCAACCATGGGCGATACAATTCTGCACCTACAAGGTTCTCCAGATATGCCCATTCCATGGAAGGCCAAAAGGAGAGACCAAATGCATTGTGCAGTGATCAAGTCGATCAACCACACGGGTATAGCCACCAGTCAGTCCCTCAACTCACTATATCCGATGTTTACTAAATCGCTTTTAAGGTTCGTAGATCCAGCAGCCTAATCTTTCTCGTCGGAATTTCTTTGCAAAGCTATGAATTGTTATTATCAGGCTTAGCCGGTATCTGGAGGATCGGAGATCTCTTCCACGCCGAAGAAATCCAGAAATGGCTACAGCGAAGCACAATTTACTTGTGCAGGCGTAAGAACAGGACCTCAAGATAGTAGATATCTAGAAACATTTCCTTCTCCTATTTCTTTATGTCGAGACATGTGTCAGAAAATCACACTGATTGCATTACCTATCTTATGACCCTCGGCAAATTTGAATAGATAAAGGTATGATTATGACTACCCAGCAACTACAGGAAATCATGTAGAAGACTAGCGTGACCTCTGGGTGCGTTTGATGAACACCACCAAGAGCATATGAACGGGCCCTTAGAAGAAAGATCGTTCCAGTTTTTCTTAAACTCCTCCTCAATTTCTACATAAACCTACTCTCCTACTTCAAACCTATAAAAGCTCTGCACCCTCTCTCCACCATCAAGACATTCTCACCTTCACAAAAACCTCAACCCCAATAATTGTAAAGCGAACCTCAATACCGCGAACATGACCACCATCATCGGAAAAGATATTCGCAATCACAATCATAAACACACACGTGGCGAAGACCGGATGAACATGAACGACTACATCAACACTCCGCCAACCGGCCCTGCAATCGCAACGGTAGACATTTACATCGATAATGGCACCCCAAGTGGACTACTTCTCCGTACCAGAGTCTCTTCAAAGATGCTTAGCACTGCATCCAATTACTTCATGCGCGCCTGCTCAGAAGCAATCGCCGCAGATTTGGGACTTCACGCAACGACCGAGACCGCCCCTAAGAAACCCATCCCCGGACTCGGCCGCCCATATGTTCTACTTCCGGCAACTCTATGCAAGCGTGCCATTCAACGCTGGCTCGATTGGGTGCTATTCCACGATCCACCTTTCCCACTCAACTACCGCGGAGGGCCACACTTCCCTATCCACTACGACTACACCCTCACCGATCACGCTCGCCTCACCCAGATGCTGAGATTTGTGGAGCCAATTGCACCGATGAATAATTGTGCTATGCTGCTTTCGCAGTACCGCCACTTTATTGATTGGGAGTTGGAGTACAAATTCCATGGTTCACTTGCTGATCTTAAGGTTATTTGGAAAGCTGGTGGGAAGGATGTTGATGAGGAGTTCACGAAGTATGCTTTTGAGGGGCTTGCTAGGGAGGCGAGTATGGGGTATTGTGAGAAGGAGTTTGGAGGGTGTAGGGAGATTGTTGGTGTTATTAGGATGGTGAAAAAGCGTTTGGGACTAGAATGTGGTCATACCCATGCTGAACAGAAGATTGAAAACTGTTACTCACTTGTGCAATGGCATGGCTGTAGAGTGTGGGAGGCGTGAGTTGTTTCCTTTTGGTTCTGTCACTCCCAATAGGAGGTACCTGCTTGCTCTGATCAAATCAGTGTGTTGATGAAGGCTTGGGAAGGACATTCTGCACCTTTTTTGATTCTCATAGATAGAGAGGACTACTTCTCTTCCCTTGTTGGTAAGAAGTACCTTGGCGAAACCAGAATAATTATTACTTTCAGTACCATGAGTTCATTTCACACATTGTGCGCATCATTTACACCAAAGGGGTATAATGAAGAGAGTAGTGGTGTGCCCCAAAATTTTAGAGCGCAGTGATGAGAAATACGCCCCTCCGTACTACTTTATATGCTGAATTTTACATCCCAACCCTGTGTATATTTCGACGCTACCATGGTAATGTAACAATTTGGATGGATATCGTGTTTGAAAGCAGAATTGTGTACTCCTCTTGACAGAATAGACATTAGTGCCCGAACATCCCTTCACGCACGAAGGAGTGAAAGGCTGAAACCCGTTTCATTGATACGTAATATCAGATTGAGCATGAATATAACACGTTTAAAGCCGCTCTGATTCGTTGAACCGATTTGCTGCGTATATGGTAAACTAAAAACTTGAGCCGATTCCGGCCAAAAACCTTATATCGGCGCTCGCTATCCATACAGAAATATATTTGCACAAGCACTTTTTGCCCCAAAACTAGCAGTCGTAGTCTAGTGGTTATGATGTGGCCTTTACATACTATCGCGTGTGCGGCCAAGGTCGAGGGTTCGATCCCCTCCGACTGTAGTGGAAATTCCTTTTGTTCCGTTTGCAAAACTCCTACCTAGCTCGAGTGTTGCTGTGGTCGAAGCCCCGAAAGTTGTATTCATTCGGTGCGTTGATTACAAGGCTTTTTCTTTTTGGCCGAAAGCAATTACGCCCTTCTTGAGCAGTGGATACTAGACGAAGGATAGGTACTGAATTTACAAGGGAAAAAGTAAAAGACTTTTATGGAATATAAACAGCTTACGTTATGTCTGAAAAGGATTCGAAACAGTTGACCTAATGTCTGAAAGGGACTCAAAACAGAACGCCGACTACGCCGGAATATCAGGCCCTTTTCAAATTGAGGAAATGGGGCCTGAGAATAGGATCTCAACCCCAACTACTCCCCCTTCCCCCTCCCTGGTAACCTTCCTCCAAATTGCAGGTGTATGAAAAATCCAGAAATCCAGCACTTGGATCTCTAGTAGCAAAAAACAGAAATTAGACAATCCTCCATCATGCATCATCCGCCCAACCGTTTTGGTGCTGAAAACGGCTTGTTCACTTGCGAACTCCAACCCTGAACGTTCCTCCGCATACCCAAATTCCTCCTTTGCAAGCCTTGCTGTTGGTTTGACACCTGCGCCATGGTGGTGGTATGATACGTAGATACCGGTACGATCCCTGTAGCTCCTTGAGATATCGGCTCTTCATTGAGTCCTACTTCGTTGTTCTCATCAGACATAGCATCCCTACTATGATCTATAGGATGGTGATCGCTCGCTTCCTTGATTGGCGAGCTAGAAAGAAGGACGTATTTTGTTGCCGTTTGCTCCTCGTCTTCGAAAGACCTCCTTGGCCGTCCTATCGCTCGTTCTGACTTCAACTTGTGAGAAGTTTGCAGCGATGAATTGATGGGTTGATGTACGCGACTTGCACCAGTCTTCCAGTTTGTGACCTCTTGAAGTGGTGCCGAGTGCATACCCGCTTTTTGTTGTACAGTTCTCTTCGGGTGCTTCTTCAATTGCTTTTCCTTTTTGACTTCGCTGATATTGGCCGTGCTGGATACCGGCCTTACAAAGAAATTTTGAATACTGCCTTGCGCCGATGGTTGCTTCGTTCGGCTGTTGATAGCGGCAGCTGTCGGTTTTGGCGCAGCTTCAGGTTGCAATTGAGATACGTGTTCAATCGGTTCGTCGTTGAATTTGAGCTTCATATGTGAGCCAGCAGTAATAAAGCCTCCGGAGGTCATGGTGGTATTGGATATGGAGTAGTCTCCAGAATTGGCGACGGAGACGGCGGAGAGTGACATCGAGCTGTGTGTAATCTTTGGACGCTTCCATGCGGGATCATACGTTAGAGGATCGCTGCTGTAATTTGACGTCCATGGGTCACTACTCAATTGCTTTTTGTTCCATCGCGGATTTTCGGTCGGGATCTCCTCGCCATCTTCTGGCCAGAGATCGTCTTCGGCACGTTCGATGGCTGCTTGCGCTTTTCGAACAGCTATTTCAGGCGGCGCTTCTCGACCCAGAATTCGACCAATCTCCTGTGACACCAAAAAGCCGATGGAAGGACCCTTCTTGGAAAAGCAATTTGTTATAGCTCGAGGCGAGAGGAATGGTGAGACTGTGGTTGCCTCGCTACCTGAATTCTTTTTTGGCCAGCTCAAGTAGAGCAAGCATTGTGCACGCGTCATTCCCACATATAGAAGTCTGCGCTCTTCATCTGCATCATCGGCTCGAGAATGTGGGATGGATCCCTGGTAAGCAGCTGGAATAAATACTGCTGGCCATTCGAGGCCTTTCGCAGCATGAATGGTGGAAATGGTGAGCTGATTAGTTTCCGCTCCTGCTTCGCCGGCGTCCACTGCTGTGGTAAGTGTAACATTGGCGAGGAATTTTGACAAAGTTTCCCCCACGCCCGAGGAGCTTGACTGCGAGACGCCGTCGATAGCAATCAGCTCATCCGCGTCCATAGCATCATCTCCAGGATTGCCCAACGCTTTGTCCGATGCTAGAATCACCAGTTCCTCTACATTTGCCCATCGATTCTCAAATTCCTGGGGATATTTTGCTTGGAGATACTCTTTGTAACCTAACTTTTTGATGACATGTAGCATCAAGTCAGCGACTGTGCAAGGTTCTACTTGACTGTCGACTTTGTTCTGAGAAGTAAGGATAATGTTGGAGAATATCTCCAGTCCTTTTTGCGCTTGCACACTGATCTTAGTGGCGGGGCGTCGTCGTCCTTGTGCAATATCAAGCACGAATTTCCATAAAGATCTCTTTGATTTCTCCGCCTCTTCAAGTAGTCCTTTGCAGGTGATTTCACCAATGCCTCTCGCAGGTGTGTTAATGATTCGAGCTAGAGCATCGTTGTGCTCTGGCTGACTGATCACACGAAAATAGTCCAGTAGGGTTTTCACTTCAATACGGTCAAAAAATTTGCTTCCACCTACCATGCGATATGGAATACCAGCCTTTCCAAGTGCAGATTCAATGGTGCGAGATAGGTTGGCTGAACGAAGAAGTATAGCAAAATCCAAGTACGTCAGTAAATGAGCAGTCAGTGTAGTGACGCGCTCAATCTCAGCCACTATCCATGCTGCTTCTTCGACAGCGGAAGGTAAGGTGCGAAGTATAGGTCGCTCTCCTGTGGTGTGCGTGGCGAGAAGTCTTTTTGCAGGCCGCGATTCGTCCTGCTCAATGACTTCAATGGCTGCGTGAAGTATTGAGCCTGATGATCTGTAATTGTCCTCAAGGTGGACAACTTGTGTGTCTGTGTACTGGTCTCTCATTCGATGGAGATTCTTGATCTCTGCCATTCTAAATCCGTAGATACTTTGATCAGGATCGCCAACAATAGTGATGCTCGGGACCCTTCTGTTGAGACGCGGCTTTTGATGCTGAGCAAAGAGCGACATCAGCTCGTATTGCACATTGTTTGTGTCTTGAAACTCATCGATGAGGACCGCTTCAATATTAGAGACACATTCTGGACATCGCTTGAGCAATTCTGCACAGCGCAATAGCAGATCGTCATAGTCGAGTAGGTTGGAAGACCGTAGCGCTTCCTCATATTTTTCGAAGATGCTCTCGAATTCCTGTTGTTCAACGTCCATTTTCGATTTTCTCGGACGCTCTTCAAGTGTTCGACATTTGCGTTTCGAGATTCTCCCCCGTGCTTTGCTGGGGTCCAAGGTGAAGTCATGCCGCTTGATAATGCGCTTAATGATAGCCATGCTATCTGCGCTGTCTGCAATGCCGAATTGTTTTGGCAGGCCAATGTGATGTCCATACTGGACCAAGTAGCGGCGTGCGACACCATGAAATGTGCCAAGCACAAGTTTGTTTTCGAGTTTATCGCCAACAAAAGAGCGAATGCGCTCTTTCATTTCATTGGCGGCTTTGATTGTAAAAGTGCAGACAATCATGTTCCATGGTTTTAGCCCTTCATGAGCAATATGGTACGCGACGCGTGTTGTCAGGGTCTTGGTTTTGCCCGATCCTGGCGGTGCGAGGACTTGCAAGACCGATGCTTGGCTGGTCACAGCCGTCTTCTGATGGTCATTCAATCCATGGAGAAGAGAATCCATGATGATGAAATCGAGGAGTTGGTTAGTCCATTGAAATTTTGATTTTCGGTTTGGGGTTTGGGGTTTGCGTTGGTGTTTGGTGTTCCTGATTTTTTGTTGATGCGCGAGGCTCGAGCGCTGTCACGCCGGTGGCGCTTCAACCTTGGCGTGATTCAATCTTCGACGACAGCCTTCATCTGATCTCGTCTTCTTGTCCTCAACCTTCGACCTTTCGGTAAAAGAGCATTGCGACGTCCCAGCCATTCACACCTTTCTTGACTCTATTCATGATGTCTTTGTCGTCAATGTTGGCAGCTTTTCCATCATCCCACTTGAACCACCCGCCATCTTTGGACTTCCAGAAACTCACATAATGGCCGGTGTTGGTTCCGCCTCGATGCTTGAGCAGCCCATCTAGCTCGTACCTGGTGTGGATTTCACCCTCATGAAATTCAAGGTAGCTGTCGGTGGACACTTTCACCTTGTGTAAGAGTTTGTGGGTCTCGGCTAAATTGTTCGGGTCATGCTGAATGCGATTGAGATCAACGACAAGCCTGGCTGGCCTGAAAATAATATTGGTGGATCCCTGAACGGCAGAGGATTTATTTTTGCACTCATTACAACCATATTTTCGCCTCTTTTTGAGGAGAGAGTGTGGCTCGAGAGGGTGACCGCTGTCGTCTTGCTGCGCAAGAGGAATGCTCGCTGTCCATAGAGTGGATGGGACTGTATCCTCGTAACCACAATCTGCACACGCGGTAGTGATATTGCCTGAGAAGGCTTTCCGCAAGGCCCCAGCTTCTCCATCCTTGGCGTATTTGTCCAATATATTGAGGAGTAATGCGAGGAACTCAGCAGCGTCTTGGGCTTTTGACCCGTTCCAATCATTAGTAATTTTCTTTCTCTTCGTCCTGGCATTCGTGGTCTCGTATGACTGGGTGTCTCCAAATGCCTCTAGGAATTCGCCGGGATCAAGGGAAATGCCTTTGGGCGCCTCTTTCATTGCTCTCAGTAACTTAATCAAGGTCTGCACCATGGTCCGATCCCGCTCTTTTCGCTCTTGCTCTTTATTGCTCTCCTGTCTCAAACTCCTGTTCCGGGCAGTTGCACGAGACTCGACTAAATCTACTATTTCTGCTTCGAAAATGTCGAGGTTCATATGTATGTAGATGAATTGGATGATGCCTAAAACGAAGCAAGAGTTGGTCGAGGTTTTCTTCAAAGCGATTGCTTCACGAGGAATACTCAGCTGCGGTAAAATTAGTACACTACTTATGAAAACACCGTAACGACTTACCAGAAGTTCGGTGTTCGTAGTTGAAGCATGTTGCATCGATGATGTCTTTCCACCTCTCGCTGATTCTATTGCTACTCTCCTCTCCTCTTGCGGCACGTCACGGCCCTCTATACCGCTTTCCTTGGAATCACCTTGCTCCCTAACGGATTTACTGAAGGGCTGCTGCAG